CCCCCGTGGGCTTCATACGGGGGTGGTCCGGCGGTTGGCTGTGTTGGAGTGGAGAGAGTCTTTGTTGTCCTTCTGGATACAGTTGTGAACTTGAAGGAAGCTGTTATCCCTGTCGGAGTTGTAGGTGGCGGTGGGCGTGGTGGCGGCCTTCAGGGGGTCCCTGCTGAGGGTGTACATGGAGATCTCCGTGGACGGCAGGGTGTTGAAGCCCTTGATGCCCACGGGGGAGGCGTCCCTGGAGTGTGAGGGCTCGGTGGAGCGGGAGCTGGAGCGGCTGCGGCGCTGGTAGCGGTAGCGGTAGCTGGGGATGCGGGTGATGGCGGAGGCCTGGAGGTAGTCCGTGGCGCGGGCCGTGGCCCGCAGCTGTTTGTGCCGGTCGATAAACATGTGCACGGCCAGCACCCCGACCATCTCGGCAATGATGAAAGACAGGGCCCCGAAGTAGAAGGACCAGCCGTACGAGTAACTATTCTTTTTGGAGTCGCTCTTGGAGGGGTCTCCGGCATTGGCAGATATGTACACTATGATGCCAATGATGTTACTCAGACCTGCCGGGCACGGGGTTGGGGGTGGGCGGGGCGGAGGGAAAGCAGAGAGAGTGCTGGTTAGTTTCCCAGGAGGATGCCAGGCACTGGGCAGGATTAAAAGACACGGCGGCTGGAGGGGCTTTCCCTGGTCCGGCGTTTTCATGGAGAACAGACGGATGGGTATAGAGGGATGTTACCAGCATCACCTTACTATTCTATCAGTCCATTTGGGGAGCGCCACAAAGGAAGAGCTAATGGAAACAGATACAGGAAGAAGGGAGAGGGGAGGGAGGCATTCTACAATGTATTGAATAGTAGTAGTAATAGTAATAATAGTAATAATAATAATAATAATAATAATAATATTTATTGAGCATTTACTACCTGTCTTCACTGCTGAGTACATTTCAAGGGATTTGCAAGTGAGAAAACAGATCACAGAGAGGTTAAGTAACTTGCTCAAGGCTGCACAGGGATTTGAAGCTTGTGTAGCTGGGGGTTAAGACTGCCTCCTGGAGCCAGACTGCCTGAATGCAAAGCCTTCGGCAAGGTAACCTTCGTCTGAGTTTCCACGTTTGTGAAACGGGTGTAATGATAGGACATACTCCTGCTGGGCCACGGAGAGGACTGAAACGAGATATTCCACGAGAGAGCTGCTGGAGTCTGGGACGTGGTAAGAGCTGCTTAAACGTTAGTCATTCTTAGTAATCGGCTCGTGCTGCAGCCCATGTTCCTTTTCTGGCAGCTGAAGCCAGTGTGACTAGTCATGTAACTGGGCTGAGAAGTGTGGTTTGGGTGCCTGCCTGCTCCCACCTGGGTAGGACAGTGAGGGGAGAGGGCAAGTGAGGATAGTCCCAATGTTCTGAGAGGGACCTGGGATTTGAGCCCTTTTCTAGGAGGTGGGAGAGAGAGGGGCCATTGGGCTCAGGGCCCGGGTCTAGGGATGTTCCTGGAGTGGGGGCTCAGGCACTGCTATGGGGTGACAGCCCCAGCACAGCCTGCCTTCCCTACAACTCAACCTGTTGCAAGACCTGGAAATTCTCTCTCCTCTCCCCTCCTCTCTCTGCCAGTTCCTCCCAGCCACCGGGTACCCAAACCTCAGCCTTCGCCCCACTGGGGGGGCCTGGACTCTGGCCTGCCTGGCTCAGTGGCTGTTACCTGCAGACACGAAGAAGATGCCGGCACTCAGGATGATGTTGTGTCGAGTCTTGTAGAACTCGCTGGCTGCGATGCAGAGTCCACCCATAAAGAGCAGAATCACGCTCAGGATCGGGAAGATGCTCGAAGCCCTCACAGCCCCTGAAGAACACGGAGGGTTGGGGAGAGAGAGTGGCATGGCTATGAGACGGGGGATGTAGGAGGGAGGAGAGAGGACATCCCACAGGAGTAGGGGTTTATGGATACAGGACCAGAGTAGGGGTTGTTTGGCAACGCTAGGGAGGGAGGGAGAGGGAGCAAGCTGCCTCCTGGCTCACTGCCCTGCAGGGGCTCCCTACTTCCTCAAGGATCAAACCCCAGGGCTTCATGAGGCCCGAAGCGCCCCGTGGGACTTGGTCTCTGCCCATCCCTACGTTCCATCTTGCCCAGCCACAGCCAACTTCCCATGACGTGTTATTGCACATTTCTGACTTTTGACATCCAGAGCTTTCTTACTAGAATGTCTTTCCTGCTCTTTTTCACTCAGCAAACTTCCATTCATCTATCAAAACCCAGCTCAAAGTCCCCTCCTCCATGAAGCCTTTCCTGATTTCCTTAGGCAAAGATATCAGCTCCTTCCTCTGCACTTGGAACTACATAGCATCTATAACATTTCTGGGGCTCTTCTTATCTGCTAGGCTCTGTTCTAAGTGCCTTCCATGGATGAACCCATTTAAACCTCACACCAACCCCATGAAACCCACAGACCTTGGCATCAAGGAGATTATAAACACCTAAAGCAGGCACTGGCAAACTTTTTCTGTAAAGGGTTACATAGTAAATCTTTCTGGTTTTGCCGGCCATATGGTCTCTGTTGTAACCGCTCAACTCTGCCCTTGTAGTGTGAGAACAGCCATGGACGATACATGAGCAAATGAGTGTGGATGGGCTCCAATAAACTTTACTGATAGAAACAGTCGGGGGGCCAAATCTGGCCTCCCCTGGCCGAGAGCATCATACACTATACTGGGGAAAAGCTGTGTGGTCCAGAGTAGGGGGGATGCTTTGCTTTTGACTAGCTGTGAGTCCAGTGAATAAATACAGTGGCAGTCACCGTGTCTGGCTCCAGGCTGGGCATGGAAGACATAGGGGTGCAAAGCAGGTCCCTGACTTTATAGAGCTTGCGTTCTCATGAAGGAGAGACAGCACAGAGGAATGTGTAATTAGCAACCAGGATGAAGTGTTATGCAAGAAAGCTACCCATATGGCCCCATGAAGGCAAGTGACAGGCTGATGTCACATGTAGATGGCCAATGTTTACTGGGGATTCAGTGAGGGGCTGTTCTGAGCACTGTGCTCAGGATGAACCCATTAGTTCTCATTTACAGCTCCATGAAATAAGTACTTTAATTACCTCCATCACACAGAGGTTAAAACTGAGGCAAAGAGAGGTCAAACCTTTTGTTCAAGGCCAGCCAGCAAGGAAATGGAAGGGCTGGGTTTGTGAGCCCAGGGAGCCTGGCTCCAGGCTCTGTGTGCCTAATCACTGCACCCCGTGCTTCCGGCCTCCCAGAGCATCCTCTGAGCTCACGTGGGGCTCAGGGAGGGCTTCCCTGAAGGAGTGATGTCGGTACTGAGGTCGACGGATAAGGAGAAGCTGATTGGGCAGAAGCGAGGCAGAGGGTGGGGAGGGTTCCAGAGAGAGGAAGCGCACTGAACAAGGAAGAGGCATGGCTCATGTGGGGACTTAAAAGAGCTGGCTCACGAAGAGTTAGCGCAGGGCCTAGGGGTGCTCTAAGGGGTCAGGACATACGGGGGCTCACGAGTTTCCTTTAAAGGCCTCAAAGCAGGCAGGGCTGCCACGATCTGATTTGCATTTTAAGAAGCGAATAAACAAAGAAGGGGTCAAGGGTTGCTACAGGGCACCAGTGAGGAGACTGCTGCTGTGGCCAGACAAGCGCTTGTGGTGCTTGGACCAGGGTGAATACGAAGGGCGTGGGCAGAGGTGGGTGGATCTGAGGGATGTTTAGGGTGGAGAAGTGGGTGGCATTGAGGATAACTTCTAGGTCTCAGATTTACTGGGTGGCTGGATAAAACCACTTATAAGACTAGGACAGGATGAAGTCTAAGGGGTGAGGGGAGGGAAATCAAGGTTTGGCTTGAGACACTTGGACTTTGGGGTGCATTCAGATATGGATGCTTAGGGGCTCAGGTGTGCAGTCTGGGCTGAAGCTGTAAGCGGGGGTCGCAGAAGAGAAGTGCACAGAAGAGAAGAGGGTCTAGCCTTGAGGCTTGGGGAGCCCCAGTGTTTGCTGACTGGCTTGGGAAGATCTTGGGCCAAGCTCACAGTGTCCCTGGGCCTCCACCTCCTTGTCTGTAAAATGGAGATGAAAAACCAAACTCTGTCTACCTTACAGGGTTACAGTGATTCCACAGGAAGAAGAAGGCGGAAGCTTTGGAAAATACAGAATGTTAGTCAACTACGCACAATGTATTATTTTCTATGCTGGTGACAGAAATGAAGAGTGTCATAAGTACCCGGGAGGGAATGACATCTTGTCTTCTGGAGGGGGTGGCCTCAGCCATAAATCCCTCACTAACCATCTTTTTGGCCAAATCCTGTAGACACATCGTTTCATGATCTAGCGCTCTGGGGGCCGGGCACCTATGGTGTCCTGCCGTGGAATCGCTCTTCCCGGTGGGCACAGCTGGAGGGCAGGCGGACAGCTGCACGCGGAGGCCCTGGCAGTGGGGAGGGGAATGGTCCGGGGTGGGGAGTGGGCAGACCTGAGCCTGGTGCCCATTCTGCCTGGCTCTTCACGGGCCTGAGGGTGGGCTTTCCCTCCTCTGGGTCTGTGCTCTGATGAGGTTGGACCAGATGATCTCTAAGGTTCCGCCTGTCCCTGATGGTCCTGTGCCTCCAAGACCTCTGCTCCAGGACCACTCAGTCAGGCC